GAAGAGCTCTGAAATGAAGATAAGTAGGCTAGCAAAGTGAATCAACTCGGTTCAAGAAGCACAACGAGTTTCCCAATTTGTGTGCTCACGGAACTTCGTTCCTGAACTTATTTATAAACTTCGATATAATGAATAAAATGTACCTTAGAATCCACTCGCATCAGGACAAACATTAAATCTGCCTGGCGACAAAATTTGGAACTTGACTGCATATGAAAATTCAGGTTGATATGCGAAAAGATGTGAGTGGCCATGGTTCAATACCTCATCTGGATAAAGTAATGCATATGCTCGAAATGTATTTTTTCTCCATATCTGATCAAACTCCCCTTTTTTAACAATTTACGTCGCATACAATGAAAATAAAACATTGACTCTGATAAACGCACAACTATTTTTCATGTTTTCCACCCATTATTGATTTTTCAAACTCCTTAGTAATTTCCCTACGATGGTTGTCTTCGGACAAACTTTACATCCAAATCAGTTATATATATATTCATTAATCTCCATCGCATAAAAAAAACATTTCATGTTTTTAATGGAAGGACATAGTATGAGAGAATCCAGCACAAAATTGCCCTTTTTTGTTTATACGAGTTTCATGCCACAGAAAACTGATCTTGGATGACGAGCGGTTCGGCGGGTATAACATTTAACTTGCCAACCTTGGGTCACTTTCAGCTTTCATATACGTTGGCAATATGCATCTTTGTAGATAAATGAGAACACATTGCCCGATATCATTTGCTGTGAAATGCCCTGTGCCTTAAGTAGCTCGATTAGTGGAAACTGGAGCAGCAATGATGCAATTTTCTTAAATGCAAACTTGAATCATTAGAAGACATAAAGAGAATAGTAATGAATAAGTGTCATGCTCAAAGCTGGAGTCCAAGCTCCAAACTGTGTCAATGGGAGAAGCCCAAAATAAATGACGTTGAGGGCGTTTAACACTGCAAATCGTTTTCTTCAATGTGATAATTTTCCATGTGGTTTTTCTTCTGAGGTACATTGTCAGTTACAGAAAATTATATTATTGTTCTTCATTTCACTCAACAGCGGTTGGATTCATCAAAAGGAGTAAAAATAAGAAATGACATAAAACACTAACTGTCGTCTGGTTCAATATCATGCACAACCTAGTGAGACCTTGTTCAGTTCACCAATCCAAATACCGGAGCTTAGGTTGTGGCTTCCAATCAATGAGCAGCAGATCATCGAAAATATGGGGTTCAACCTGTCTGCCGTTCATCACACAAATGCGTGTAATAAAAAATAATATTGCCGAAAAATTGGTCAAGAATACACAAGATCAACAGCGGAGTCGACGAGGAAAGAACAGTGTAGATAGCCAGAATCGTGATAAAGTAATACAACGGATGATTAAACACGCCTCAGCTGAGGTTGAAAGAACATAAAGAGAAAAATTGAAGACTATTCATCCAGAATACCACACACAGAGGCAGAAACATAAATGGACATTATTAAAAAGCAGAAACCCCGATTTTATTCTGACCGTGAAAATGAAAAATATTGTACGACATCGAACAGACGATCGTTGGAAAAATTCGGAAAGATTTTACGGATACTACACGGAACAATTGAAAATAGTGTAAGAAAGTATCCCATTTACCTCACTTAATACGTAACTTCCTACTCCACCAGTTTGATGAATTTTTTCGAACACCTATTTTTGCTCATTCACTGATAACTCCGAAGACCGAAATTATTCACTACAAGAACAGTATAGAACGAGGTAGTATATTCCCCCTATCACGGAAGTTTCTTTTAACACGGCGTTCTGATAAACTGCTTCGAACGCCTCTAAATCGGGTGATAATTTGGTACGCGTAGTAGTGAGCAGTTCACGTGCAATGCTCCCAAGTCATCCACTGTGATTGCTCAAATCGCGTTCTTCTGTCAGAATTCATGATCGCATTTGGCAGCTTCCAATCCCATATGGATTGAAACTCGCTCATCATTCACCTCTTTGATTCTCCCGTCTTATATTTCCTTTGATACAGTTCTTTTTCTGAATAATCTCCAAAAATAATGTCGAACAGTCTCCTTTTCGGCAGGTTAAGTGAACATTCTATTGACCTACTTTACCCGATTGTTGAAATGTATTGTGGTTGCTCAGCGAAGGACAGTTCCATCATTTTGCAGTCAGCAAAATTGACGAATATGAAGTTAATCCGGCGGTGACTTGATGTTACCCCCCGGGAACTGTTTCTTTGAGTTGTATGCGATTTTTTCATGTCACTCAAAGTAGGCATCTGAACCTAGAAGGTTGCGTGTGCAACAAATTTATTTTTTACGAATATAGCACTAATGGTAAACCGAAGTGCGCTGTATGCAGGGCCACATGTTTTGAAACTCATCTTGCATTATTCCACCACCTGTCCGCAAAGCACAGAACAACACAAAAATGAATCAGTTAAATGTGATGATCTTTTGGGATCTCTTCGAGTTATACACACATACACACACACACACACATGAAATCTCTGATCTTTTTGGCAAATCACATATCTGAACCGCTAGCTATTCTGTTTCAACGAATGTTCGACTAAGCAACACTCTCCGAATCATGGAAACAAGGAGTCATTTCTCCCATATACAAAGGTGGTTGTCGTAGTGACCCCGCTAACTATAGACCTGTGACCCTGCTTTCGGTGTTATCGAAGGTCATGGAGTCAATTGTGGCCGATTCTCTAATGGAACATCTCGAAAGATACATCATTCTCTCGACAGCTCAACACGGATTTAGGCAAAAGCGATCATGTAC